TTTTTTTTTGCATAAAAATAATTAACAGATTTTAATTATCAAAGTTATAAACGTTCCAATTTGTAATGCCCAGGGGACTGAAGGGGATCCAAACAGAAGTTTTGTTGCACGTAAATGTAGACGTGTGAAGTAGAGATATCAACTGGTTGTTAGAAAGTATACGTTGGCTCCCAATTCGTGGCAAGGATAACTCGCTTTTGAGCAGTCATATGTGATCTTCCTCTTGCGTAAACAGTTGTCTCATCGTGGATGAAACTTAACATAAAATCGTAATGTGTTTACTTGGGTTATTGCCACATGGAAAAAATAGGCGATCTTTTGTTGTATCATATGTTTGTGAGTGTAGGAAATTTTCTTAAAAATGTCTTGCATTTAGAAATGTCAGAAACATCTCAAACAAGTATTCAGTGTTCACAAATTGCCTTGTTTATCATTTCTTCGAAGTTAATAGTACGCTTCTGTTTAACTAGTAATTGGGAAATGATGATTAGTGTACAGATATATTTATATCCATATACATATTTAATACTAATTTTAATGTAGAAAATACTTGTTAAAAGGGCAGATGAAATTATTGATATCTGGTATTCCTTTCGCAGATATTTTATCCTGATGTCATTGATAAAAGTTCTACGCCAGAGTATACACTGGTAAGCATTGATGTGGTATAACGAATGCTTGTTGATGGCTGATCAGTAAACATCACAAAAATGTACATATTAAGTTACAAGGTGCTCAAGTGGCATTGTTTTGATGGACCAGCCACAGGTTATCATAGACAAATATTAGTGGTAAATAATATAAATGGCAGCACCATCTTGTCTCGAAAATGAAACGTATTTGATTGTCATGATATGAAAAAAAAATCCAGCATGGTTTGTTATTTCAGACTCCGTGTTCAGAAAATAAAGATTTTGGCATTTTAAAGTTTCATGCCGGTCCACCATACGAGGTAAGACAACCACTGGGGAATTATTTTGTCATCGATTTACCGAAAGTGTGTTGGTATTTCAACATGTGTACATATCGTGACTGTTATGGTTTGGTCTATTGGCACACTAGATTGCATCGATTCTAAATATGCACCGTCACCACGTACATGTTGTCCAAAGTTTGTAAATAAAAAAGATGGCATTCTTATATTCAACACGACAACTAGCATTTCACCACGTTCATCACAAGGAAGTAGACTCTACTGATGGCTGTGTTCTGTTTCAAAAAACCTGTCGTGTGGTCCAATTCGAATTGACCATGTCACACTAGTAAAAAGTGAGTTGCGTCCGAACACGTGTGAGATCTCATGCATTTATACCCTTTCGCTCTGACAGGACATCGGCTTCAAGATCGTCAATCGCGAGTGGGAGTACTCGTACAAGCGCGGCTTTCGCTGCCAGTTCGCCAACGGCATCTTCCAGCTGTGGTTTCACTTCAAGCGGTATCGATACAGGCGATAGGCGGATGCCGACGCTCGTGGCGTCACGTGTTACAGCACGTGACACTGATATATCGACGCGGCCCATTCATCGGCGAAGGTGTTGCTGGATGCTGGTTGTGCCGCGTGCTGCTCAGCAGCGAGTAACCTGCCGTCTATACATTTGACAGCAACTCAATATGGCGAGTGTAGCATATCGCTCGCAGTAGTTCCTTCTAGTTACATTTCGCGCTGCCTGCATAATTGCTTGCCAATTCAATGAATAACGCGTGTCGCAGGCAGTTTGCAATGTTCCTTTTGTCAGAACTTGACGTAACAAGACTGTGGAAATAATGTGTGTGATTTAAAATTTTTGATACAATGACTGTGCGTTTCTGTGCGTATATGAGTTACATTTATTCTATTACGTATAGTATTAAATAAATACACTTGATCAATTTAATCAACCTGTGTCTGCCTTTTCTTTCATTTTTTGTTCATGTCGCGTATTGTAAAACGTACGCGCCATCTCGTGGCAACTTTCATAACGATCCCCAACGAACATTCCTTCGAGAAGGTTCCTGATACAATCCCTGTGCCTTCCACTGTTTCGGCGCGTATGTGAACACATTGGGACTAAAGGTTAC